AATATTTCACCAACTTTAAAAACTGGAACTCCTGTTAATAGTGTTAATGACCTTTCAACTTGTGTGCCTTGTACCCTTCTACTTCATCATTTATACATAATCATTCTATCTAAACGTGTTACATACCTAACAAAACTCTATACCCAAATCAAGAGATGCAAGATATTTCACTATATTTAATATGAATTAATTATGTGTGGTCTCATCATCAATTCTTCTGTGCATATGTCAAAAAAAATTAAATCAATAATGATGTCATCACAGTTAAATTAAGTTTTAATTCGTGATTTTTTAAACAAAAGTGTTAAGCTTTAATATTTGTCAAGATCTGCTGGAAACTTTTTTTAATGACATTCATATCAAATCAGATTGCGTGATATATATTATGTCAGTGTTATAGTTAGTTCGAAGAATCGGAGGTCCGATAGTCTTGCTCTTCTGATGTATTAAGTCAAACATAACATAACTTGATGGGGCAACGCAACCATCCTGCTTGTGTCAAATACGGGAAGTCGGGCATAAGTTAAAATATTTCAAGAACGCGCTCGATACATCCACCAATATTTGGTTGTATTGACCATATAAGAGTGGGGAGTGACAGGGTACTGGTGCTGTATGCGTGGGTATGACGGTTAGTGACGCCATGATGTCGGGTATTTACGTGTAGTGACACATTGCTAGTTTTAAAATGGGTGCAGTTTGTTGCGTACGTCAGCAAGGTCGCGACGGGGAATCCGCGAATGAGAGCGCAACACGGTGTGCAATGAGAGCGGGGCGAACAAGATCAACCAGGGAATTATTTTATTAGTATAGTTTAGAGAGACTGTAGGCTAGAGGCATTTGCTGAGCTATTTTTTTTTAAAATCTATATTATTCAAAATGTTTAAATTTAGGATGATGAGAAACTGGCGTGACACTAACTGTTGACGGTAATTGGTATGGTTGTAGGAGTGGTAGTTAGGGGGGGGGGATATTCACTTGCTCACTAAAGGCAGTTTAAATGCCTTTTAAAATAAAAATGTAGTATAAATTAACATTTGCCTTCTAAAATTAAATAATAAAATGTGAAATAAATGATTTTTTAAAAAAAATTAAAAAACTGAGAGACTTTATTTGATTGGGTTCTTCAGACCTCTCAAATGGGTACAACGGGCAACGAGCAATCCTCGTTTGGCTATTTAAACACAAATATTTAAAAAAAAATTAATTACAGGTTTTTGAAATAATACGTGACATTTCATGCATCATGAATCTAGCTTTTGAATTGTATTTTCCTGTCTCAAGTTTGTGTACACTTGTCTCGTCTATATTATATCATAATTTATTCTGACCTTTAGTTTGTTTTGCCCAAAGTATGAATGCATGCCAAATTGAAGCAGTACTGACAAGACTAAACTAAACTTACAAAGGATTGCTCTCTGTCATTCTCAGCAATTTTTTAACTATAATTTCTTACAAATAGAATGAGAATCGTTTACTTGGGTGGGAGTCGGAAAGCTATATTCATGGATGTTTCGAGAACATGATACTCTCTACCTCACTGTTCACATACAGATTAGAAAATTTACCTTATGATAAAAAAAAAAAAAACAACAACTAACAATTGGTAAATTAAAAAAGCATTTTTTCAAATAAAATATTACAATCAATATCACTTCTGAGTCAGTCAAGACTATTATCTTAAAATTGGGGTGCCACAATTATTTTTTATTATTTATAAAATCGTGTGGGAGCGGAATTTAAATTCAAATGTTTTATTTAAAATTATTATTATTTTTAAAAAAAAATATTAGTCATTTTTTAAGAGTAACGCATTATGAAATTTACAGGCTGAAGTTTCTGTTTGCTAACTATCTATGACTAACTTGGATCTAAACATAAATTACAAGCTGAAGTTTCTGTTTGCTAACTATCTATGACTAACTTGGATCTAAACATAAATTACAGGCTGAAGTTTCTGTTTGCTAACTATCTATGACTAACTTGGATCTAAACATAAATTACAGGCTGAAGTTTCTGTTTGCTAACTATCTATGACTAACTTGGATCTAAACATAAATTACAGGATGTAAGGCTTTGTTATTATTATTATTATTATTATTTTGTTTTTATATATAAAATATGAGGTTTTTTTGTAATAATAAAGTTAATTCTCAATGAATAGCGTTGTTAAAATATTTGTAAGCAAACTTTAAAAATTCAAGTGTTTGCCTTTTGAAAACGATTTGTAGACTAGTTCTACACACAATCAGCACCATTAACTTTTAGCGCACAGGCGACATTAAAGTGGTCCATGGGTTTAAAAAAAAAAGTATGTGTCTTAATTTAGAAAAGTATTTTTTAGTAGATACTAACTATACACCAATAGAAAGACAAAGAAACAAATTATTTTATTTTAGAATTTTTTTTGTTAACTTTTATTTCAAAAAAAAAAAAGTTAATTTTATGCCAATTTTGCCAGTTACGCAAAAGTGTTTGAAGCGAAAAGGTTTTTTAATATCATAATCAAACTTTGCACGCTGATAAATAATAACATTGTTAAAACACTAATGCAGGCTCACTGCATAATGATTGGGAGAGTTGCAAATGACATGTTTGTGGGTCACATAAAATTTGACAAATTTCTTACGGTAACATATATAAAAAAGTGATTAAAAAATACTGTTGAATAGATATAAATAGGCATGCCTATACAAGTAGAGAATGTCAATAGAAAGAAGCATGCAAAGGTTGAAGTCTGTAGCTACACAACTTTTTCTCCTGCTACATTTGGCATTCCTCATAAATCTGAACAACTCAAAGTGGAGAAATACGACAAAGACGTTTAAAAATGTTCTTTAAAAAAAGTACATGCTTTATGAACAACATAGAATGCATAAAACATGAATGAAAAAAAAAATATACAAATTTATAGAGAACATAAATTAACTCATTTTTTTTCAAATATCAACCCCCCTCCCAATAAATTTTTTATGATAATAAAAAAATTCTGATTTTATTTCTTTGCCACGTATGTTAAAAAAACATCAAATATTATGTTAACAATAGCCATAGAAATTAGTGTGCAATATTTGAATGATGTGCATACAACACTGCCCCTCCTGAAACATCTGACGTTAATAAAGACTGAAAATGAAAAGTTGAGAAAAATAAAAATGACGTCGAAAATTGATCATTAAAAAAAAATTACATGCTTTTGACCATATGGGATGTATATACCATGAACATATACTATTCATGAATGCTATAAAAATTTAGAAACATAGACAGAAAAGATAACAAAACAAATGCACATAATGTCATAATTACGCCAAAACCACCATGTATTCTTAAATAACAGATTTTGAGAAAAAAATCTCTTAGTAATTAAAAACAACAACATCTTTGTGAAGAGAATCACAATGGAAAGAAACATAGGCCTACAAAGCTAGAAGCATGGAGCCTACAAAGCTAGAAGCATAGGCCTACAAAGCTAGAAGCATAGGCCTACAAAGCTAGAAGCATGGAGCCTACAAAGCTAGAAGCATGGAGCCTACAAAGCTAGAAGCATGGAGCCTACAAAGCTAGAAGCATGGAGCCTACAAAGCTAGAAGCATGGAGCCTACAAAGCTAGAAGCATGGAGCCTAC